GATTCCTTATGTAAATTTTTTTGTTTGCTTGTTTTTTGTAGTAGCGGCTCTTTCTTCTTCAGAACTTTACCCCACAACTTCCAGTTGCCTCAGGTTCCTGAACTCTAATATGTGTCCCCTGAACTCTGATATGTGTCTCCATAACTCAGTGAGACTTCTGTACTTTGTTTGGGCTCTCCTTCCTGTTCTACAGTCCAGAATTTGCCTCTAGGAAGAAAGCTAGGGAGATTGTATGGCTTACTTCCTTTCTTGTAGGGAATGTAGTCCTAGTTGCCTTTGTTAATATCTGAAAATAATTGTTTCATGTAAGGTCATGCACAGCATAATGATGTTTTGGTCAACGACAGGCCACATATGTAATGGTGGTCCCATAAGATTATAATACTGTGTTTTTACTGTACCTTTTCTATACTTCTATACTGTACCTTTTCTATGTTTACATGTGTTTAGATATACAAATACATTGTGTATCAGTTGTCTGATGGTGTTACAGTTGTCTGCAGTATTCAGTACAATAACATACTGTCCAGATTTGTAGCCTAAGAGCAACTACACCTTACAACCTAGGCGTGTGGTAGGCTCTACCATCTAGGTTTGTGTAAGAACACCCTATGGGCTGGGCATGGTGGCTCACGCCTCTAATCCCAGTACTTTGGTAGGGCCAAGGTGGGCGGATCATGAGGTCAGGAGAGTCAAGACACACCTGCTAACAAGATGAAAACCCGTCTCTGTTAAAAATACAAAAAGTTAGCCGGGCGTGGTGGCAGCGCCTGTAGTCCCAACTACTCGGGAGGCTGAGGCAAGGGAAAATGGCGTGAACCTGGGAGGCGAGCTTGCAGTGAGCTGAGATTGCGCGCCACTGCACTCCAGCCTGGGCGACAGAGCGAGCTCCGTCTCAAATAACATAAAATAAAAAAATAAATAAATAAATAAATATAAACAAGAACACCTATGATGTTTGCACCAACAAGGAAATCACCTAATAACACATTTCTTAGAACATATCCCAATCATTCAAGTGGCACGTGACCTGTATTTCCATCCGGTTTTCTTGTTTATAACAGTTGGGTAAATCCTGGTTTACTCAAATTGGCTGTTATTCATCCTGACTGAAAGTAGGAAGTCCTGTTTCTTAATTAAAATTTTATTTATTTATTTAGGTTATTTATTTAGTTTGGGTTATTTATTTTTGAGATGGAGTTTTGGCTCTTGTTGGCGACCCCAGGCTGGAGTACAGTGGCAGCAATCTGCAGCTGCATTGGATACCTCCGCCTCCGGGTTCAAGGGAAGATTCTCCTGGGCCTCAAGCCTCCCGAGTAGCTGGGAGTGAGCAGGGCCGAGATGGGTGGCCACCAACACCCAGCTAATTTTTGTACGGGCCTTTAGTAAGAAGCCGAGGTTTTCTCCCCATGTTGGTCGGCTGGTCTTAGGCAGTCCACTGAGCGCCCCAGTGATCCACCTGCTTTGGCCGGGCGCCAAAGTGCTGGGATTACAGTGTGTGAGGTCCATTGCACCCAACTAAAATAGATTTTTTTGAATAACTTTTTTATTTGGAACAATTTTATATGTATAGAAAAGTTATAAACATAGTAGCAGAGCATTCCTGGGTATACCCCTTACCCCAGTTTGTCCCTGTTGTTAACCCATCTTAGAATTCCATGGTACAGCGCCCCCGGGCGCGGTGGCTCCACGCCTGTATGACCCTAGGCACTCTTGGGAGGCTGAGGTGGCCCCGGATCCAACCTGAAGGCCTCACGGGAGCTTGAGACGGCCAGCCTGACCAAGCATGCTGAAACCCCCGCCTCTAGCCTGCTACGTAAAAATACGAAAAAACAATTAGCGCAAGTGTGGGGCCAAGCCACCTGTAATCCCAGCTACTCAGCGAGGCGCTGAGGCAGGAGTAATCACTCTGAAGCCCAGGAGGCCGGAGGTTGCAGTGAGCGGAGATCGAGGCCAATGGCACTCTAACCTGGGGCGTGACAGGGGGAGACTCCATCTCAAAAAAAAAAAAAAAAAAAAGAAAAAAGAAGGAAAAAAAAAAAATTCCATGGTTCATTTGTCAAAACAAAGAAGCTGACTTTGGAATATTCCTATTAAGTAAACATCTATATTTAACGTTGTTAAAAAAAACTGCCAAGCCATTTTCCAAAGTGTGTATACCCCAAAGTGGCATTCCCACCAACAATGAATGAGAGTTCCTGCATTATTTGAGTAGAAGAGGAACATAATAAGAACATGGAAACATCAACATTTCAACTACTCTGAAATTACCAAAATTAAGTAAAAGGTAGTGACTTAAATTTGAAAGTCCTAAGCCTATGATTACAAATGACTCATAATAACTATAATAACAACAATAACAAGAGCATTCATTTAAATCCTACTGGGAGTCAAGCGCTATTCTAAGAGCTTTACATTTATTAATTCATTTAGTCCCTGCAACATCATAGATTAGGGGAGAGAGCAGTTCAGTAATTTCTCCATAGTCACATGGCTATTAAGGTGCAGGCAGTGTGGCTTCAGAGCCTGCTGTCTGATCCACTTTACCAGTAATGGTTCTTAATTGGTTGTACATCAGGATTATTGGAGTTGAGATGGTGTTTCACTTGCTACAGGATGGTTTCGGACACCAGTAAGACCCCTGGTGATTCTAATGTGCAGTTAGGATTGGCAACACTCTGTATTATTTTTTTAAAGATACATTTATTCAGCGTCATGATCACACGACTACATTTAGCAATCAACAGCATGGGTGCAAAAAAAATCTACATTAAAACCCTTTGTTGGAATGCTTTACACTTTCCACAGAACAGAAACTAAAATAGCCTGTTATACAATTATTCACAAATACAGTCCTCAAGTTTTTTGCCCATATACATGAGTATTTGTCTAAAACATGTCTTCTTTATAGCATCTAGGCCCTGCCACCACTGTGCTTGGCTGAGTTCACAAAACTGTTGTAACCTGTAGCTTCCCTGTCACTTCTCTGGCTCTCCTCTCACACTAAGCTTTGTTTCCTGACAGTAATTAAAATCTTCTGACACTGCCATAGCTACTGCTGCTACTGGAACTGGCATAGCCACTTTGGTTTCATGGTTTGGTCAAGTATTGGCCTCTACCACCATAGGAGCCAGAGCTTCTGCCACCATTGTCCTCCCTTCATGGGTTCAAAATGTGAAGACTGACTGTTGTAATTGTCAAAATCATTCTTTCACCACTTCCAGAATTGCTTCCATCATTATCAAATCCATTGTAGCCATCCTCACTGCCACCATATCCACCATCACCATGGCTGCCACCAACCCCACCATGACTGCTGAAGTTTCTTCCACGACCAAAGTTGTCATTCCCATCAAAACCACTTCCACGACCACCATCAAAATTTCCAGAACCGCCTGCTCCACAGTGGCATAGTGACAAACCCAAAGCCCCGGCGCGCTTGGTGTTGGGATCTCTCATGACCACACAGTCCATGAGCATTCCCCATTGCTCAGAATGGCTCCTCAGGCTCTCATTGGTTGTTTCAAAGCTCACGCCTCCAATGAAGAGCTCCAATGAAGAGCTTCCATAGCTGTTCAGGCTCTTTAGGAGACTGACTTAGACATGATGGCAGGGGGAGGAGAGACTTTAACGATGCTTCTTCAGCAGCATCCACAGGCAGCCACTGTGTACTATTTCATACAGCGTCTTCATTATATGTAGATAATATTTTAAAGTCTGTTTGAAAAATTCTAATCATAATAATGGGTACTTTAGTTCATATTTTGATTTGGACATTTTAATGTCTTTTTATAGGTAGAGCTTGAATTGAGGCAAGTATTTTGTTTAAAAAATTTTTTTAAATCAGTTCTCTATTTTGATTTGGGTATTCCTTCCTAAAATTAATGTTTAAAGAGTATTGATTTTAAAATGTGTAATCATTTCATATACAGAAAGCAAGGACTGAAGTATATCATAGAGTAAATGGTGGGCTTATTTAAATTGTGTTATACCCAGCAGGTTAATTAACCTTCTACAAAATTGATTTAATTCAATATAAAATAATCTTCATAAAAGTGTTTTCTGTCTTATTTTGTGTTTATTGACATTTTAATATTCAATATTAGACTTTAAGAATGCAGAAGAAAACTTTTAAATTCTATTTAAAAGTACTTTATAAGATTTATTTTTAAAGTACAATAAGTAAAACCATAGGTTTGAAAGTAAAGTTTACTAAACTCTAGTTCTGTTGTCTCTAAATCAATGATATAAATTTATTTTCTTAAATTATTGCTGTATGATCTCCAGCATTCACTTGTTTTGCTCTGAATAGTTGGTTACTGATTGCAGGAAGTCTCCACCAGAGTGTGCTCAAGACACTGTAGTGGGAAAAGTGTTACTTAGGCTTGCCTAGACTTTCTAGCCTCTGTGAAAAAGAAAATTTTTTAAGAGAAGCATTTGATTTCTTGTTACAAAATTTCTTTTGCCATGAAATAAATTCTGTACGTTGACAGTTGAGTAGTTCTACAGACACTGTAAATGAAGAGTATTTAATCTCTCTGTTGTTGGTTCTCGGTATGCGTGCTAGCTAGAAGTATCTTTATTTTGTGAAGTTATTTTTTAGAAATGAAAAGTTCATCTTCCTTTACACAATAGGTGTTGATTTTTTTCTCACAATAAGTATATTTTTTAAAGCCTGAATAAAATGAACTGGAAAAACTAGTAATTTGTGTTATGAAGTTAAAAAAAAACCTTATAGTTTATCTATTATGTATGCTTTTATTTTAAAATAACTAAATCAGTAAATAGATTTAATATTTGCAATTCTAGTACAAAAGATTATTCTCGAAGTATTATTAGTTAGCTGTGCTAACCATTATTGTATGTCGATGCATTAGAGTAGGGTGTGAAAGTTGTGGCCTATTTATATTTGATAAATTTCTAAGTGAGCATTTTATAAACTGATTATCTGACAAAAGTACTTAATGACAATAGCTATTTTTTTTCTTTTTCCTTCCTAGATACCTGCACTCAAATAACATAGTTGTGGTTCCGGAAGGTATGTTTACTTAAAATTTTTAGTTACAAGATAATATAATTTAAGCTTTGCTTTATAAATAGAACAAATTTTAATTTTAAGACACCTTTAATTTTTTAGCTTCAAAACTTTTTTTCTTCTAGTAAGCCCAGTTAAGAACTATAATTAAATAAATAAGTCTAAAATGGTTATAATAGTTAGGTAAACTATTATTAGATAAATTCCTATTAGGTAGATAATAAGTTCTAAATTTAATAAATCTAGTTAAGAATTCTGGTCAGATAAAAAAGGCCCTGTGTATCATTTCTTGAATTATTTTAGTTTTAATGTTTTTATTTGTGCTGTATTTTAAGTTATATTTTATCTTGAGCTGGAAGTATTTATCACTTTCTTCAACTTAGTTTGATCCGTGTTTTTACTGTTTTGTGAGCAACTGAGACAAGGATATTAAGTAGTAAAATATTTTAACTTGGAATACTTGCATTACAGATTTGATGTAATATTTGAATCAAATTCATTTTGGTTCTCCTTTTCTCTTTGAAGCCATTGGGTCTCTTGTAAAACTCCAATGTCTGGATCTTAGTGACAATGCCTTAGAAATTGTTTGCCCAGAAATTGGTCGTCTGAGAGCTTTACGTCATCTTCGATTAGCTAATAACCAACTGCAATTCCTACCTCCAGGTAATCATAGTCTATAGCACACAATAGTTTCTTGTCTAGTATAAATCTATATTTCTTCTTATTTCTCACTGTATGTCTAGGCAATGGGCTGTAGATGTATTTGTAAGTATTTGTCCATTTGTTTGAAGATGAAACTTTAAGGAATGTGGGCGAAATATTACTAAGAGTCTTTTTTGTGATGCAAATGTAAAAAGGTAGCATTTATATTTTAGATATAGCTACAATTACTACAATTGTGCATTGCAACTAATATCCCTTTGAATTACTGCTCTGGCAAAATATTTGTACAAAGAGCTACTTCAATTCCGAATTTCACATAAGAGAATTTAGGTGAGCTTTGCATGATATAATCATTTTACTATCCAAAAGTCAAATACATGCAGTGTTTTCTCTTATTCTCCAGTGAGGTAACTAATGTACATTAACTTTTTTTTTTTTTTTTTTTTTTTTTTTTTTGAGACGGAGTCTCGCTGTGTCGTCAGGCTGGAGTGCAGTGGCACAATCTCAACTCACTGCAATCTCTGCCTCCCAGGTTCAAGCGATTCTCCTGCCTCAGCCTCCCGAGTAGCTGGGACTATAGGCGCGTGGCCCCATGCCCGGCTAATTTTTGTATTTTTAGTAGAGACAGGGTTTCACCATGTTGGCCAGGCTGGTCTCAAACTCCTGACCTCAAGTGATCCACCTGCCTCGGCCTCCCAAACTGCTGGGATTACAGGTGTGAGCCACCACGCCTGACCTAATGTATGTTAACTTTGATTTTAAAAGGAGTCATGCTAAAATTTAGTAGAACAATTTACATTTGAGACTTAGGATTGTCTATTCTGCCTGCTGAACATGTAAGTAAATTATGAACGTACCTTATAGATAGGCAGTACTAAAATCTTGCATTTTATTGACAGCCACCATTAAACCCTTTGATTGCTTGGGAGGAATATCCAGAGACCTTGCTTTGTGAATCCACATATTTGCAAATCCCACTCTCATATATGATTTCATGTATTAAAAAACATGATAATTAAAAAATAAAAAACTTACGCTTCAGGTATTATATGAAAGTTACTGTGTATTCAAGAATGAGCAGAGAAAGATACAGATGTTAATTTGTCTGAGATTATTTTTACTCTTTTGAGTAAAACCAACTCGAGAATACCAACCAGCCTTTTAGTGTATCTAGGTGAAATATGTGACTCAAACAAAATTACAAATTACTACCTGTCATAGAACTTCAGGGTAACATGAGAATGTTAAAAATTATGCATGTTAAACCCACGAATGAAAAAGTCTATGATATTTCTTTGTTTTTTCAAGTACAGAAATGTCTAAATTAAAACATACTAATGGATTAATTTTTAGACTTTATGTTCCGGCCTTAATATATAGATTCAATACTGTATATAAAAATGGCACCAGTCAGGCTGGGCACAGTGGATCACACCTGTAATCCCAGCACTTTGGGAGGCCAAGGTGGGTGGATCACCTGAGGTCAGGAGTTCGAGACCAACCTGGCTAACATGGTGAAACCCCATCTCTACTAAAAATACAAAAATTAGCCAGGTGTGGTGGTGTTGTGCCTTTAGTTTCAGCTACTTGGGAGGCTGAGGCAGGAGAATTGCTTGAACCTGGCAGGCAGAGGTTGCAGTGAACCGAGATCACACCACTGCACTCCAGCTTGGGTGACAGAGTGAGACTCCACCTCAAAAACAAAAAAAAAAATTGGCACCAGTCAGCGGTGACTGTGTTTTAAAAAATATTTTTTTACCCTCATATAATGAATGTCTTATTTTTTCTAACTATAGTTAATATAAAAATTTTTGACACAATACAGGAATATGGTCTTTCCTTTATTATATATACATCAGGCCAATGGTGTTTCATCATTCTAGCTTTCATCAAGTTTGTACATTCAGATACCTAGAAAATGAGATACTCTTTTGAGGATTGCCTAGAAAATGTATCAGTAAAGATAATACTTTACATTTTTCTAACATTTTCATATATGAAACTTATATAAGATATACAACCAAAATGCATAAATATAATGCTGTATTTATGAACTCTTTTTTTTTACATACATTTAAAGAATATACAAAAAATACAATTCTGCCAGACATGGTGGTTCACATCTGTAATCCTACCACTTTGGGAAGCTGAGGCAAGAGGATCGCTTGAAGCCAGGAGTTCGAGACCAGCCAGGGCAACATAGTGAGGCTTTGTCTCTACTAAAATCCAACAATAATAATAATAAAAAAATTAGCCGTGCATGGTGACACACACCTTAGTCCTAGCTACTTGGGAGGCTCAGGTCGGAGAATCTCTTGAGCCCAGGATATCAAGGCTGCAGTGAACTCTGATTGCAGTATTGCACTCCAGCCTGGACAACGGAGTGAGACTCTGTCCCCGACCCCCCACAAAAAACAATTCTGTGATAAACCATTGTTCTGGGTGTTGTATTATTCTGTCTTTTCCTGTAATATAAAAACATGATGTAGTAGAATATGGTCATTTCCTTCCATTATATATCTTAGAGGTTAAGGATGTACTTCTAATATCATTGACTGCTTCTTAATAACCAGTGAAGGCTATATGTTTTGTGACTACTTTCATATAATTTATTTATATCTCTCCTGTTACACAAGAAATTTGAGGCATATACTTGTGATTTTATTTTCCTGGGTTTGTTTCTATTTGTGTTTGCTTTTGCTTGTTTTGAGTAAAATTATATACATTAACAGTTATACATTTTGGATAGGAACTTTTGATTGAGCCATGTATACAGACTTTATTCTTTCTTGCCACCATGAGTAGCAATGGACTAAGTTTTACCAATTATTTGATTCACTTTATACATCTCATGAGGTGATTTCAGATGTTATGATTTAAGTATGTAAGGGGCTAAGCATACATCCCCTAAATGCTTTATTATGTTTGGAGACATACTATGGGAGGGTATTCTAAATGTGGGAAAGAAATGTGAGGGACTGTGATCTTGTCCCTGTTTGACCACAGTAGGCACCAGTTGATATCTGCTTAATAAGCCCCTTCTCCATAGTCCATAGTCCATGCCAAGACTTGTCACATGTTACATTCTCTTAAAAGACTTAACATTTTACCATGTATCTTTGTTGTCATTGAAAAGCCTTTGAATATAATTTTACAGTTTTATATCCTATATTTAAAATTTGCCAATTAGTTCTCAAAGTGGTTATGCCATTTTACACTGTTCTCTCAGCAATGTATGAGAGGTGCAGTTACTCCACATTCTTGCCAACATTTGGTGTTGTCTATTTGTTTGTTTAGCCATCATAATGGGTGTGAAGTAGTATTGCATTTTTTAAAAATTCTATTTAATTTGCATATCTCTCTTGACTAATGTTATTTAGCACTTTCTCATGTATTTATGGGCTATTCCAAATCTTTTTGAATTATAGGAGATATCTCCCTGCTTTAAAGACCAGCTGCCAGCAGGTTCAGTTGCTGAGGAATTCTCTTTGCTCTCCAGTTTGGCTTCTGGCTTTCTGTGACTTGAGAACTCTTTGAATCCTGCTGCTCCATCCTTGGCCTGTAAAGGTTGACTATCATCACCCTGTACTCTGTGATGGTGGGTCTTGCCTCTGAGAAGTTTCTCTTGGCTTTTCTGTTACCACCTATCCTCCAGGTTTTCCCTTGCTGGAAGCCTAGAGTACATTGAGGAAATTATCTCAGTTCTTGCTCTCTTTCCTTGCCCTCATTTTTGGTGAAGGTTGGTGGGAGAGAGTGGTTTGTGTGTCTGTGTTGAGCAGGGGGATTTATTAATAGTACAGTCTTTCTATACCTATGGGTCCTCTGGGTTCTACACGGGTATGTCCACATAGAGCTTTCAAAGTTAGACTGTTTTCTCTTTAACCATTGTCTGTGGCAGATTTCTTTTCCCACCTCTATTTCAGTCAGGGATGATAGCAGCCAGGGATCTCTTCTCTTTGAAAATGTGCTTCTCACTCTTTGGAGCTGATTTAGTTTTCCCCATGTCCTCAGTCTCTGATGGGTTTTTATTCAGCTTGTTTTAGTTGTTAGGGTGAGAGCGATGATCTCTTTGGAGTTTCTATTTTCAAATTGGAATTAAGTCCTCCTTATTCCCAACTGACTTCCACAATTTGTTTTTGGTTCCTCTTTGCTTCCTTTCTATTTTTGGATTACTTGAGTGTGTTTTAGTGTTCTATTTTATTTCCTCCATTGACTTTTCTCTAGGCTTCACAATATGCTCCCTTAACTTATTACATTTAGAATATTGTACCATTTCATATAAATTATATACATTTATTTATTATTGTGCATATTTTACAACAGTATACTTCCTTTTACCCTCCTTCTTTTGTACTACTATGTCATATATTTTATTTCAATATATGTTATAAACTCCTTAAGATAATATTATTTTTGCAAGTCAGTTGTCTTTAAAATACTAACACTGGGCACGGTGGCTCACACCTGTAATCCCAGCACTTTGGGAGGCCAAGGTGGGTGGATCACCTGAGGTTGGGAGTTTGAGACCAGCCTGACTAACATGGAGAAATTCCATTTCTACTAAAAATACAAAATTAACCAGGCATGGTGGCACATGCCTGTAATCCCAGCTACTCAGGAGGCTGAGGCAGGAGAATCGCTTGAACACAGGAGGCGGAGGTTGTGGTGAGCTGAGATCACGCCATTGCATTCCAGCCTGGGCAACAAGAACGAAACTCTGTCTCAAAAAATAAAACACCTAAAAAAATTTTCCTGAATATTCACTATTTCCTGTGCGTTCTATTCTTTTTTTCTTAAGAGACACAGTCTTGCTGTGTTGTCTGAGCTGATCTCAATATCCTGGCCTTCTAAAGCACTGAGATTACAGATGTGAGCCGCTGCACCTGGCCATTTTTTCCTCTAGATTTAGTTTCCATCTGTCATTTCTCTTCAACCTGAAGTACTTCCTTTAGTATTTGTTTTAGTGCAGTTCTACTGGCAATGAACTATCTCAGTTTTTC